GAAACTTCCTTCTGTTGACACTGCAACGCTGTATAATTAATCCTCATTCAGTCAATACGTACAGTTGTGCAGTTGTACAGTCAGCGTTCTTGGTGCCACAAGGCACAGCAGTACAGGTGGAATATCCTAAAGTGGTTCTGCTCCTCTGAAACATGCCGTGGGATGATCAGGTTGCTGCGAATTCCTTCTTGCCCATGGCTGATGTGTGAATGTGCTTCTGGCAGGAATTCAAGAGAGACAAAAGGCGACTCTTGGTACCATTTTAACACTATTGACGTTCACCATTAATCATTTTCACACCATAATAGAAGGGTTGAGAGTATCGCATACCTGTACCCACATCACGTACCCCCCCCCCCCCCCCAAAATAGCAGGGACCATGCTTAGAAGGTATGGGAGAGTCAACAATGAGTACTAGTATGTTTGTGAGGGGACACATACTTGATGATGATATGGTTGTGTCCATGGCCATGGTTGGGTGACTATTTTACACTTCAAGAATGTTACTTACTTGACAGGTGATTGAGTGTGCCAGGAGCACATGTCAGATGTGAGTGTGCAAGCACTTCAGTTTTCAAGTGGCAATGGCTGGGTGGAAAAAAGTAACCAAAGAAACTGAAGCAGTCACCTCCCCAGTTGCTTTCCCAGTCACCTTCCCAGTCAACCTTTCGTTCCGGACACTCTGGATAGGTACTTGCCCTTTACTTTCAACTACTCATGATTTCAGTGGATATGCCAGTGCTACCAGTGCATAGAACCTTCTGCATCTCAATGCCACACACCCAGTAGACAATGCTATTGTTTTGGTCCCGGAAGGCCAGCCTTGCCAGCTGAAAGCTAGTAAGTTGGAATTTCTGCATTATTTCTTTTTTGGGGGGGGGGGGGGGCTATGCCACTAGTGCTCAAGCAACATGGAGTCCTGGATAAGAATCCTCTCAACAAGTTGTCTTTGTGCAGCCGTTACACTAATGTACGACATGATGAAGGGATAATAATATTGGTGTGTGAATTCTTCATGTGGTCTTCTGATCTGCAAAGTGTCAGTGTTGGTATGGCTGAGGGGTAGTGTCTTCTATGTTCTGATGATGCTATGTGTACATGTACATGCTCGTGGGAATTGCTCCGGCTTATAGTCATGTACAATGAAACCTGTCTCAAGGGACCTTCAAAACGTGGTCTCGGTAACCAGGTGGTCTCCTTATCCAGGGTCATGTGACTGAAAATAGCATCCCTTAATCCTGGCCTTCTGGGACAGGTGGTCGCCTTATCCGAGTGGTTGCCATGACAGGTTTTACTGTAGTTACAGTAACCAGGTGTAAGATGTTTGTGCCCTGCACTGCCCTGCACTGCCCTGCACTGCCCTGCACTGCCCTGCACTGCCCTGCACTGCCCTGCACTGCCCTGCACTGCCCTGCACTGCCCTGCACTGCCCTGCACTGCCCTGCACTGCCCTGCACTGCCCTGCACTACCCTGCACGGTTCTAACTGGCACAGGGCCCTGCACGGTTCTAACTGTTTGTGCCCTGCACGGTTCTAACTGTTTGTGCCCTGCACGGTTCTAACTGTTTGTGCCCTGCACGGTTCTAACTGTTTGTGCCCTCCACGGTTCTAACTGGCACAGGGCCGTCGGAACCGGTGCCACAGATGTGGCCAAAGCTGAACCAATATTTTATTTTTAAAAGGCGACGTGGAGACAATAATCTCAATGATGCGATGAAGAAAACTATATGCGCACTCATATCACAACCATCGCAACGACTATTTTTTTTCACTCCAAGTGTATAAATCCTATTGTAGTATCATCATTCCCTTTAGTCACGAATTCCATTGATAATTGTGACAAGAAAACATTCTGGAATATTTTATTCGTTGCTATGGTTGTGATATGAGTGCGCTTTAGTTTTATTCATTGCATCAATAATTTTATCCTGTGATTTTTGAAGCAACGAAATATGGGCTATTTGGGCCCAGTTTCCCTAATTTTTTCCAAGGGAGAGCCCCCCCCCCCCTCCCCGACTTTTCAGAGTCACACCAATGTAGACTTCCTTCCACCGCTCCTGTGGTAACTTGTGACATGGTGATGTTCTGCTGCTGCTGCTGCTGCTAGATCAGTCTATAATGTGCAATGACACCTGCTGTGTACTGTGCAATGGACTATGTTCATCATGTGACAGGGCCTAGGGCTGCACACACATACATGCAGCAGAACTCTAGAACCCTCGTGTTGTAACTCAGAAAGAGGTCCCCATTTTGGATCTGTTTTCAGAGGGTGAATTTTCGGACAGTGTAGGGTGAATCAGACCATTTCACAGCACTGGGTATGGTTTGCAAGGCGCTGAACGTGTAGGAGAATAGTAACCAGTCCTGGGTATCCCTTGTTTAGGGAACACTTGACATTGTCTGGTCGCCAAGGTGATCATGGTGATCCGTAGCTGCGCGTAGGCCCGCGTAGCCGCCTTGCCGGCCTCGGCCCTTTTACCTCGGCAGACCGCACCGGAAAAAAGATGACGACGCTGTTTTGGTGAATATTTTCTTCGCGCTCGATGGTCTGTGCGCCAAATTCAAAAAAAGTCGAAAGCCTTTTCTTCTTTCTCGAGTGATCCTTGGTGATTTTTCAAGCTCCCTCGCAGTGTTCAACACCCAATGGCTCAGGAGAAGAAAAGTCGAAAAAGTGTAGTCACTGGCCTCGTTTCAAGTGACAGCAGGAGAAGAAATTTCCTTTCAAAACGGAAGAATGGACTCCTAAAAAAGGTAAGTTGAATGCACATCGCAATTCTGAACTTGCGCAATTTGTCATGAAGACTTCGCTTCATTTGTGTTCTGCAGGCCGCAGAGTTGCATGTTGGAAGTGGAGCCAAGGTTTTGGTCGTGGTGGTCGCTCCTTCTGGAGTTCGACACACGTACAGCTCGCATCCTGTGGACGAGATTTTGCCCTCAACCAGCTCAAGTGTCACAACAGCAAGAGCTGACCCAGTGGCATGCTCTGCAAGAAGCAGTTCATATCCCACCGCGATGAACACCCCAGATTCCACCACGAGCCCCACTGAAGAATGAAAATAAAATTTGGACTGCTGGTCCTTCAAACATCACCTGTTGGATACTTGTTGTGTGCAAACACCATAGTCTGGTATCAATTCACCTCAGAATGTCAACATTGAAATAATAATGTATGCGTCATCAGAAATTGAAACTGGACAACAGAACAATGCTAGTAGTCACAAACATCACACTGAACCACTATGAATAGGAGCACTGGTTTGTACCACATGTACATGCACCTCAGTGTCTCAAATGGAAATAGAGGAAATAGCCGTGATCATGGTGATAGCCGGGCCATGATGCAGAACCACTTGGGGCCGTCAGATTAATTCCTGGACCGAGCCAGCCGGGAAAAAACCCTCGCGCTGACGGACGCAGTAGTGAGGGAAAAAACCGGGTGTATATCCCCAACGGCGACATAGGAGTAACGGATAAGACCACGGCGACTCGAGGTAGCCACGACCCTTGTTCGAGGTACAGCGTCTCTGCACTGGAGTCTCCCACTGCTTGAGCCAGCTGCTCAATGAAGTGGAAAGTATATAAATGGAGAAGACATGGTGTCAATAAGAAGTGTAGCGCTCGCACTTGACAATGCAAAGTGTGTGGCATGATGCAAAATGCACATTGAAGAACTACGGAAGCCAGGACCAGCCCTCCCTTGGCGAGTACACCGACTGTGAAGCAGTCACTGCAAGGAAAGTGCACACACAAGAACAACACAGAAAGCTACTTGAGCAAAATATTGCTCATCCATGCATACTATGGACACAATCGGACTGCATTCGAGCGAGGCAAACATCTTTTCTTTGCATGTTGGAACACTGTACAAGACACATAAAGACACACATGTCTACTAACTGAAATAAATTTATTGCACAGAAAAGTCAATATGAGTGTGTCCGAATGTACCTTTGAATAGACAAAAGCACATAAACCGCACACCAATGGATGAAAGTGGCGAAAGAAATGCAAGGCACAAAGCACTCACCACTCATGGAGGCATATCATCAGCTGCATTGCCGCCGTCAGCCATGCACGAAACCATATCCCGCATCTGGCGCACGACCTTCAACACTGCTGGCTGGGTGGAAGCCTGCTCCAGTTCATCGCACAATGCAGAGGCGGCATTGTTGTCGGGCGCGAGATGTAGTAGCTGCTGGAATTCTTTCCTGAGGGAAGCCATAGTCCGTCTCGTATCACTCCCGTGTTTCTCGGCCTCTTCGGTGGTCAGAAAGTGTGGTGGCTGAGACTGCCTGGACAGCGGATAGGCACCATCTCCAAATAATGTCGCTAGCTGCTTCCGTCTGGCTTTACCCACAGCAGTGAGGTTCACAGCATCCGGCACCAATTCCTCACCAGGACTGAAGGATTGCAGTGGTCTTGAAAACGCTAGCTCACCATTGGGAACCAACATTGTTCTCAGACGCGCACGCCACACCAGAAGTTCCTTAGCATAACCGGGACGGGCTCTCGATTCCGACTTGGGATCTGGCAGCTGTAGGGCACTGAATACTTTGGAGCGGAGCTTCATGAGCTGCTCATGGTTACGGATCACCCGGCGCCACATGTTGGAGTCTTTCTCCCCTGACACCCATGACTTCACATTGGCATTTAGCTCTTCGACGATAGCATCAAGTGCCTGGTGGAGGTCACCCTTTCCTGACCTGCTGAGGAAGAGAGTGCTGTCAATGAGACTTCGCAAATCTGTTGAGAGCGAGAGGCGACGGACTTCCTCGGACATGTCAATCACTTGATATGTTGTGTGATTCCTCGCATGCAGCAATGGAGAGAGAACTCTGCGAGACTCAATGAACAGTGGTACGTCGTTGTGCCGTGCTCCCCGCCGAAGCATGAATAGTGGAAAGCAGTACTGAGTGCACAGCTCCAGCAGCCAGGAATACGTATGATTGTTGGTGAACTGCTTGCACCAAACGAAGAAACCCTCTGCTGAAGGGGTGTTGCTGCCAGATTCCTGGGCGAGTACATATGGCCGCAGAAGTTCGTCAAAGCAGCCATCCGTGAAACGGCTCAGCTCATCGTATGTGCGGTGGTGGTCTTTGGCTTTGAAGGCCCAATCCAATTGCTTAGGAGAAGTATATCCCTGGCTAATAGCGAACTCCTTATAGGCAAATGGCCACAGAGACTTGACAATGCACTGGATGATGTTCATCTCCCAGTGCAAGCCACCTGAAATGGGTAGTACCCAATCAAACTCCCCATCAGGAATGTTTGTTGGGGGCATCAATTCACCCTTCTCAACCAGATCATCTAAAAACTTCCTCAGCCTCTCACGTAACGTACTCATGTTCCCTGTTACACCCAAGCCCCTTGTACTGCATGCACTCTTCAGGTCAGCCTTCGACATTGAGTCGACATGCAATATTCCTGCTTCATGGTTAGCCAATTTGGCTGCATCACGCCTTGCCTCCTCCATCACAGTCAATATGAGGGAGTACGGCAAGCCGTCACACACAACAGTGAGCCATTCCCTCACCCCCTCGTCACCTACACATTGTTTTACCCTTGCACGCTTCCCAACATCGCGCAATACAATGCGAACAGCTTCATGGGAGTTGGGGTTGACAAAAATGGGCTCTAGAAACCCAACATCTGCCGGGGACACAAGGGGCACATCTTCACCACTGGTCTTTGAGGACACTCTGGTTAACGAAACACCGGTACTGCTGTCCACATGCGGTACATACACAAACTCGGTGCCTGACTTTAGTGTGCCTGGCTTGGTGACTTTGATGTGCTCGGTCGACACCACTGATTTGCCTTGGTCAGCTTGCAATGCCTGCCTAACATTTACCCTGCACGTCGCATTGGGACACAAATGCAGCCTGCGCTCCATCTGTGTGCAACATTTAGGGCAGATCAGGTACCGTCTTTCTCGTTCCAATGATGCAAGATGGCTATCAACTGGGTCAGCTGATAGCCTCTGCTCAGACACAAGAGCTTCAATCCTTTTGTTCATGAAACTCAGCAAGTGTGGCTTAATCAAAGATTCTTGATCTAGAGGATCCGGTACCTGATCTATTGCACATTGAATCTCAGTGACAGTTGGAAATTTCCAATTTCGGAAATGGAAATCTCCCTTTTCTTGGGAAGGAACATGGGAATGACGGGCATAGACAACATTGGTCAGAACCTCATACGTGGAACGATTGCTGCCACGGGAGAGGTACGACTTAAGTTGTCGTTGCTCATTGTCAAACCCAACACTCACGAACCCTTCAGGAACTTGCAGCTCGCTACCACCCAACCCAGCCAACCAATCTTTCACGAGCTTATAACTCCCCCCCGACCCTAGGTGACCAAAAATGTCGAGGGTTGTCTTGCTTTGGGTGATGCTGTACACTATCGCCTGGAGCAAAACATGGAATTCTGCACAGTAATTCAAGTTAGCAGCAGCATAGAGAGACTCCATGGCTTGCGCTTGAAGAACTGTGCGGCGGTCGGCAACGGAGAAGTCAAGTGCAAACGTGCTGGAGGTCATGCCCGTCACAAACGTCTCAACAAACTTGTTGTAGGGTTTGTTGCTGAACTGACCCGTCGGGATGGACAGCAAGTTCTGCAGTGATCTACTTGACTTTGCTGACTCAACAGCACTCAACACATCTGCTTTGAACTGCGGCTGCTCAGCCACACACAGCCTACGTAGCAAGTCCAAGCGACCTTCCGAGGTGCTCAGAAGCGAACCTACACTTTCCTTTTTCATACTAATTATTTCCTTCTCAAGTAATTCAATTTTGCTATCCTTCTGCAAATGCATCTTCGACAATGCAGCCAACGCACAGTTTTTGGCCACCAACACTCTCTCTAAACGCTTCAAAGAATCAACATTTTCAACATTATCAACATTTTCAACATTATCTACCGGTACTTCGTTTGAGGCTGAGGAGGTTTCTCGGGACTGGCTGAAGACAGGGGGAAAAGAATCCTCTACATCATCGCAGGAGCTTACCTCTGGGAGAGCCTGAGGAACATCATCGCTGGCATCTACCATGTCTACAGAGTCCCCATAGCTATCGCCCCTCCGAGGCTCGTACAGAGGGTGGTTGGTGATTAAATCCTTCAAGTCAGCCAGTCGTCCGCAGCTCCTACAAATTGCAGATACGTCTCGTCCAGAGAGCGCTGACAACACTGCCAGGATACACTTGCGAACCCGAACATCCTTGGAGCTATGCCGAGGCGATTCCCACTCATCGTGGAAGGGATTCTTGCACGCAAACTGGTATTGAGAACCTCCAGAGTGTCTCTTCTTCGTGGATATCTTGCCCATGATGACAAAATGTTGAAAATGCAAAACGGGCTTCTTCTCGTCGCTTCTCTCTCGAGAACGACATGGCAGAGTTCAATTTTTTTTCGGGCAAAACCTCCATAAACCCCTACAGGCCAGGCTAAAACACTGTCCAACCTCCGCACTTTTGGGGTTACCTCCGCAAAGTTACCTAAAGAGGGACTGATATTTCAAGGCAAATCGAAATTGTGCCACATCTCTTTCAATGAGAACAGAGGCCTTCGCAGCGCATCCATCTTCCTCTTTTTCGGGCCGCGGGCGCACGGCGGGCGCACGGCGCGATTTGACCGTGCGTACTTGTCAATCTCCATATCAACGCCTGAGTTTTCGTGTAAAAACCGAATGTTCCCTGAACAAGGGATTCCCTCGACTGGTAACTGATGTTGCCTTGGTAGTTCTGTGTTGTGTGATCACGGCTGTTGTTGTTGTACTTGTCAAGTACCTCTTCACGTCCAGATGGAGAACAGTGTGGCGAGTCTACAGCCTGGTCTATACTGTGCGGCATGGTGACTAAAACAGAGCACACTCAAGCAATGGTTAAATTAACCGATCCTGCTCGGGGCCATTCTATAATGTACTCGTGATGTTTCCATGGTGCCATTGCGTTGGCACAGAACAGCACCTGGTTGAATCTACCATCAACATCTCTGCATGCAATACAGTTCTTTGTTTTTTTGCTGTAATCTTCTCTGCTTGTACTAGGTCAACGCTATATCCGAGACCATGGCGTTCCTCCAGCGTAACAACATGCGCGCCGTGATGGTGCACGGCGTGCGACCACGCAAGCTCATGCGAGAGCTGAAGGAGAACAACCGGATGGCGTACGGCGAGATGAACTTCTCCAACACGCCGTGGGCCAAGCTCCGAGCGGCTCAGCAGCTGCTCGACTCCAACAGCATGTACCTTATCGACGCGCTGTCCAAGAGCCATGCCTTTGCCCAGATTGTCCCATCCACTAGTGTCTTCTACGTGGATAGCTCTTATCAGGGGTGAGAATAATTATATTATAACTCTTGGTGGAGGTGGAATTACTGTACTTTCTGTCTAGGTAGAATTGTAATACACTACAGAAATAGTTGAATAGGAATGGGACAACTTCAAATTCCCCGACTATTCACAGCAGGAGTGGTTTACAAAACAAAACTTGAATGCCAATGTACTAGGTATCAGAGTAATAGTTATTCTGCTGTTCAAGAATAAGAACTAGCTTTTCAGTAAACATGCATGCCGTTGCACAGTACTAAAACATTATCAGGCTTTTGATAATCTCTTTTTTGCTTTTCAGTGGAAGCTGAGTGATGTAACAGGCTGTTAGACAGAAAAAAGACTGAGATTGAAGCATGGTCACGGTGTTCTATGTCCGAGAACCCCACAGTGTTTGTTCCTGTGCTATAACGTTACCAGAGTGCATTCATATGTACTTGACCTTTTGCACTCAGGCTCCAGACCCACACCACCACTATGCACCACCATCACCGCCACCACCACCTCCAACATTGTGTATCAGCCTGCCTGCACATGACTCATCAGCAGGCAACGAGTATTGATTCAATTATTCATGTTAGAAAACTAATACTTTCCTATCACCACCACCACCTGTTTCATATTGCTTTCAGGAGTGACTCTGGACCCAACGATAACACAAACATGTGTACAGTGGACTCCGAGCTGCTCAGATGGTGCTTGAAGTAAGTAATGCAGTGTGAGCCACTGATAATAATATTGTTACTTATCTCAATCATTACACCCACACATGGTCTCTCCACTGACAACGTCACTTCAGGTTCACCAAATGTTGGAGCATGACCCATCGTCAGTATCAAACTAGGATAGAGCTTTTTGAACAACAGAATACGTACTGATCAGATGTAACTGTGTTGAATAGAGGTGCGGTGTTTGCTTTTACTTCAATTCACGATTAGAAAACAGGCAGAGATGCTCAATAATGAGGATTGGACTCGATGTTGGTGTTGTGCCTTGTAGGAGCGGCAACATTCCCGTAGTGTCTGCCATGGCGCAGTCGGCGGATGGCCGTGTCGTTCACCTTGAGCCGTTCGACGCTGTTGCATCTCTTGTGCGTACACTGCAGCCGCGTAAGGTATGTTCTCTTGCAGCATATAGCATGATCAGGGCCGGCGGAACCGGTCAGGCTGGTCCGGCCATGGCCGGACCCCTTTCCCAGCTGGATGGTCCATGTGATTCGTGCAAAACCGGTGTAAAAAAATCCAGAGGTACATGACTCGACTGTACTGCTGACGTGTGATGTGCTTCGAAGTAGCTCAGGACTCCGTGACCGGCACTGTATGGCTGATATGGATAAAAAAAATTGTGTTTGTGTTCTTTTACTATAATTTTCTGCATTTTCTGGAGCCTTAGAGATGCCCAAATTCGCTCTATTTCACGTAAATTTTAAATATTTTCCCGCGGGAGGTCCCCCAGACCCCCCCCCCCCCTCAAAGGTTGGCCCGACCACTCCCGAACTCCTTCCTCCGGCCCTGGCATGTGTAGGGGATATGGTATGATGCTAAAGATAGGTATCTTCTTGAGCATGTAGCTTGTCACGCAATAAATTCACCTACATGAATGCCTGCCTTTGCCGCTCCAGTTGCTGCAAAGCAGTAACTGACATTGTGATTCAGAATTAGCATGATGCCTTGTAACTTAGCTTGGCTGATCGGACCGGAACTGCACACCAACGGGCTCTCCGAATCCCGTGCATTAGTACTTGCTTGGTTGTGTACGAGAGATTCTGGCCAGACCATAAATTTGGTGAGTGCGTCCATTTGTTCATATTTCTGGGCTGTGGCAAGAGGTTTGCGGCGAAAACAATAAAAGTACCTAGGATCCGGCTAAAGTTTGGCGTTATGCTTTCGTGCACTGCTTGCTGTCACTGCTAACTTGCTGCTCACTTCATGCTCACCATGTGTTCATTTTCCGCTCACTTTCTACTCAGGTGATTCTTCTGAACCAGACGGGTGCCCTGATCAACATGACAACGGGCAGTAAGGTGTCCGAAGTCAACAGTCCCGGTGACAACGCATCGCTGCTGGGACAGCCGTGGTGCCAGGGCCGACTCAAGGAGAAGCTACAGCGCATACTGAACATGCTGGAGTCGCTACCGGAGAACGGATCGGTGACCTTGACCTCGCCGATGACCATTCTGAGAGAGCTATTCACACATCACGGTATGTACAAGGAGGTGTCATTTTGCATGGCAACGAGAATTGGCGTAATGCTTAGCAGCGAGAAAATTAATGTCCGTCTGCTATCGGCTATTGGCTACCCCATTTGATATCAGTTAGAGGATGCACAGCATTTCGCTTGTTCATTCTCGTAATGCTTTGGGGTTTAGCTGATATGGCTCTACCCAAACTGTACTATTCGTACATGATGCTGTGCAGTGCGGGGTCAGTGTGTGATAGCACAGCTTGTAGAATGATGATGTAACCGGCTATCCCCAACATGTATGGTGATTATGTGGAGTGGAGTCCTCCAGTTCAATAGAGTGCCAAATGCTCACAGGAGCGGAGCTATATAACATGACGAGTCACAGCGGACCACACTTCTGGTTAAGTTGTAACACATAGTTTTATCCCACCAGATCATGGTGAACCAAGCACGTTGTGCTCCCTTTTGCCGGCGGGTGATGGTGATGTACTCATAGTTTGTATGGTGATGGTGATGTACTCATAGTTTGTATGGTGATGGTGATGTACTCATAGTTTGTATGGTGATGGTGATGTACTCATAGTTTGTATGGTGATGGTGATGTACTCATAGTTTGTATGGTGATGGTGATGTACTCATAGTTTGTATGGTGATGGTGATGTACTCATAGTTTGTATGGTGATGGTGATGTACTCATAGTTTGTATGGTGATGGTGATGTACTCATAGTTTGTATGGTGATGGTGATGTACTCATAGTTTGTATGGTGATGATGTGGAAACTGAATGATGCACATGCACTCTGCAGGCGATGGAACTATATTTCAGAAGAGAGACCGCGTTCTGGTCCACAACACTCTTGAGGGTATCGATACACACCGACTGCGCAGCCTTCTGTGCACGTAAGTTGGCATACTATGTGTGGCAAAGCAGTGACAAAATATAGAGTAGTCCTATTGTAATCTTCTCAAAGTTGACAGTGGCCATTGCAGATAGCTGGTCCTCGATTTTGATTGTTCGCCATTGCCAGCCACTGGCTATGCAACTCTTGCTGTGTTTTGTGTAATACGGGTGGAGCACAACAACTGCATGTTGACCTCTATTGTACTGTCATTTCCAGCAGTCTCGTCATCTCTAGCCGCTCATGTTTATGCTCAATGCCAATGAAAATACTGTTTTGTCCGGTGCAGCTGGAGCTGCTTCATAAAGCACCTATCACATTGATGTGTCCAATGCCCACTGTCTTCTGTTTACCACGATACCTTGCATGACCAGCTTTGCAAAATTCAATGAAAGCTGTTGGTAGTACTACCGAGAGCTATTCCATCCGCGGTTTTCAAATGCGCGAGACATAATACAGTTCTGCTTTGGATCTTTCTTTTATCAGCTTAACCGTGGTTTGGTTGACAAGTTTCTGGTGTTCGCTTGCCTGTACTTGCAGATCATTTAATTCAGAACTGGACCCGGCCTACTTTGAGAAACTCAAGCCCAAACTTAACAAGATATATTTATCGGAGAGGTAAGAGCGTTGTTTGTGTGTTAATTTAAGGAAATAGGAAAAAAATGGTTTCAGAGCAGACTCGCTCTCTTCCCATTCACTCTGCAAACTCGAACTCATTTCTCTATAAATTTTTTACAACGTTTCGGCAGAATTGCCCTCATCAGGTATGCAAAGGTGTGCACTGCTACTAATTAAGGAAATACCAGGGAATATCAGGGTGTGCTGTCAATGTTGCTCGTAGCATGTTAGGCAGCACAGCACTCCTCACTGTAGGCAAACCTTTCGCACAGCTTGTACTTGATGCTGCACTCCAAACAGTAGTCAAGTGTTTGTGTGGAACAGCGGTTGTGCAATGTGCATGCCTTGTGTGACCTTTAACAATCTCTGTCATTCAGGCGCATAGCTCATATAGAGGCAGTGTAGTCCAGTCACCGCGCCAGCAAATGGCCGTACTACATAGGCAAAACAAGGACAAAATGGCGGCTATGAGGTTGCCGGTGGTACAAGGTCACCACACCACAGATGTGGAAGCTAAGCCCATATCACTGATGGTACTGCTGGATGCAATTTAATCATCATTTAATTTTAATGCACTGAAAGGTGATCTGACCAAGGTGTGCGTATCCGTACTCTGGTTGTACATGTAAGCAGAGAACAGGCTGGCTCAACTACTTCTGAATGCTTGAGCATTACGACATTTCTGTTTCTTCTCTTTTGCTACAGATATAGTTTTGCGGCTATCGTGACAAATGAGGAAGGTGCCGAAGGCGTCCCCTACCTGGACAAGTTTGCCGTCATCGGAAAAAGCCAGGTAGGGACGGAGGCATTTCTGTTTGCGCTATAAGATCCTGCTTATGTGTTGCAGCACTGCGGCTTCTGGTTGCAAAGCTTTACCGCAATGTTCCACATAAGGATGACATCAGCCTTTTTTGGGAACCTAGATAATGCCCTTTTTGAGAATACGGCACAATCACACAGTTTTTGTTGTTGTGAAATTTGGGTCCAGTATTGTCATGTTGAGTAAGAAGTGTTGTCTTTATTCTTCTCTATATATCTCTCTCTCAAAATCATTCTAGACTGACAACCTGCAGTGCTTGCTCATTCAACTGCCTTCAGGCATGAACAACCTGTTGTAAAGATCCCAGTCCCCAGACTTACCTGTCTTTATATTTAATGTAAAACACACACGCTCTCTCTCCTTTTCTCCGGCTATCGTTCACACTCATTCAGGGCCAGGGGTCGAGCCAAGCCTTGTGGGACCTGTTACGCCGTGACTTTCAAACTCTATTCTGGAGATCGTACACAGCTAATCGATTCAACGAATGGTAAGTAAGAGAAAAATGTTCTGCCCTAGCCATGGCGTGTAGCCCAGTGCCGGGTGTGCATGCACAGTTACTATCCGATATCAATGCCATATATCTTCCATGCAGTTGCAACCGAAAATCTAGATGTGCTATGATTTTTTCATCCATGTTGTCATACCTAACTGTGGAAGTCAAACCTTTCTTGTTGTTTCAGGTACTATCCTCGCTGCTGTGGTCTGCAAAGTGTCAACAAGTGGAAAGTGTTCTGGTAAGGTTATGTGCGTGCGTTCTGAAGCCCGTACAGAAGTTTGAACATTCCCGGGTCGTGCTAATCTGTATATCGTCTCATATGTTTTCTGATGATCGCATAGTGCGTGAAACTCGGAGTAAAGACACTTTTTTCGTCCTCTTATTATTGTTTTATCATGTCATTATGCATATTTGTGTTTTGTCATGTTTGTGGGTTACGTTGAGAATTTTCTCTAATGTGAGAAGCACTATAACGTTATGTATGCTTCCAGTGTACAGGTTGCTTTGAGATATTTCTCTCATGTGAGAAGCAGCACTACTATACCGGTGTGGTATGCATGCTCTTCTTGTGTGCACAGGTATGGTTTCACTGACTACCAACTGTCACAGAAGATAGTACAAGCAGCTGGAGCCATGCCGGAGTCGTTCATTGAGAAGAGGCCCGACGGTAAGCGACATGTGATCGCCAATGTTGAATGTTGACATTCTACACAGAACACAGCCAGAGAAATTGAGTGCATTCTCCTATGCGTTGAGACTCGCATTGCCCACACCTGTGATCGCCAATGTTGAATGTTGACATTCTAGGCAATCAAGCAGAGAAACTGAGGGCATTCTCCTAGGCGTTGAGACTCGCATTGCCCTCACATGCTCAAAGACAGAAATTTTCGAAGAAGCGTCTCGCGTAGCCTGCTGTCAGCTAAGCGGCTGAGTCGCAAGCTGGTTGAAACAATTCAAGCTTGTCGTTAAAAATATTTGTTTGAACGAATTCTCTTCTATTGTTTGCAGTTGCTGATGAGCTGGACATGACAAGACCATCGACTTGGTCCTCAAGCCCAGCTGCCAGCGACCAAGGCAATGTTGAATCCACCAAGCGGCAAGCAACCGGGACTAACGAGGAGATGGTCTACAAAGCCCTGGAGGCCATCTAGACCCCCTCTGTCCCCATATTTATCTCATTGTGCTGGGCGCAATGTTTGTCAATGCTTTGCTCTGTTAAAGCTTGTGATATCCACGTCGTCTTTTGTAAATTTCGGAATTGTCTTCATTGAGCATTAGCCATCTACCTGCCTTCTCGCAGCATCAGCATTTTCTGTCCTCCAATGTCCTGGATGTAGCACCAAACGGTGCCCGTCTCCGCACCCTCGACCTTCAAGTTTCATCCGTAATCTGTACCCACGCTGCAACACCAATTCGAAATTTCTAATCAAATAATAGATTTCGTTCTGCACTTCTCTAAACACAGTGCACTAGAGTGTATCATGTATGTACATGTTGCGAAATTCGATTAGATTATTATTTACGCACATTGTATAATTATGGTTTTTGTCTTGTAGAGTCTCATGTATGATGTCATAATGGTCTATTGTACATGTGAATATGGTATGATGTGTGGCCCGTATTGTATGTGGTCACAAACCGGGATATGGGTGCTTTCCGGAAAACATTGGTGTTTTATTTCACTTCGCACATTCAAACGGGATGACGACCCAATAAAATGACGGGGAAGGCTTAGCCTAGAAGTGGCTATGGAAGAACATAGTAAAGGCTATGGAAGCACATAGTAAGAGAATAGGATACTAATAACTGTGAGTAAACGGGGGGGGGGGGGGGGGAGAGAGAGAGAGAGAGAATACGATGTATCTGTGATACTATCTGTGATACTACGTGAGGATTACTGAACTGCACGGGCCCGGGGAGGGAGAGCAGAGCTATCAGCAGCAACTCGAACTACTCCCTACAGACGTATGGTACACATGCATTCTTAAACTCGGGTAGCTGACCGCGGCGGCTACGGTTTGCCTGGCTTAGTAGGCCATTTGACTGCTGATGGCGGGTAGGGATGCCTTCTGCCGAGGTCAGAAGCTGGGCAAGCACAGGGCTGGTGCGGGCGTGGAGGCACCGCCAGATGGTGATCAATATTATTGTTCTGCCTGTAGAGCTCGCTGACACGGTACAGGGAGTCAGCAGTGAGCAGCGGCTGCATGGCTGTCTGGGGCGGGTTGCCATCGATACAGCCTGTCCCTGCGGGAATTTGCGGAAAAATATGTCGAAAACTTGCGCAAGAAATTGCGGCAGAAAACAACAAAAAATGCGGCGAAAAGTGCGGAAAGATGCGGAACTTGCCGGCATGCCAGCGGAATTATTTCCAGAAAATTGAGGATTTGGGCCAAATCACGAAACTTGTTGCATTGTTAGAATCGTTATTTGCGCAGCATATCTACTCGGGAGTAGCACGAGTCGTGCTGTGCAAATAACCTACAGGATCATGGAAAGCACTGTGTAAAAAGTGCATAATAATGTGAGATATAGTGCAGAAAACAACAAAAACACGGGGAATCGCGAATTTTGCTCGATATCGCGGGTTTGGGCCAAAATCGCGAAATTTGTTGCATCCGTGGAATCGCGATTTCCTGGAGGGACAGTACAGCGGATGGCTCTGTTTTGCGCGGTTTGCAGTCGTTTCAGTTGACCCTCTCGCATTGCGGCTGAAAAGCAGCAGGAGCCATAAAGCAGGTCGGGCATTATGACCGCCTTCACATACACCTGACGAGAACGTCTTGATAGGCTTCGGCGTGCCCGCCACAGAGCGCCAATTTTCTTGGCAACCTTGGTGACCACATAGTTTACATGGGTGTCCCGATCGTGTCCCATACATAAGAGAGAGAGAGAGAGAGAGAGAGAGAGAGAGAGAGAGAGAGAGAGAGAGAGAGAGAGAGAGAGAGAGAGAGAGAGAGAGAGAGAGAGAGAGAGAGAGAGAGAGAGAGAGACTCGGAGAGAGAGAGAGAGAGAGAGAGAGAGAGAGAGAGAGAGAGAGAGAGAGAGAGAGAGAGAGAGGGAGGGAGGGAGGGAGGGAGGGAGAGAGAGAGAGAGAAAGAGAGAGGAAATACAATAAGAGAGGCAGGTGAGAGGAAGAAAAGGGCTACAGTATGTGTCATGTAGTTTTAAAGTGAGCATGCCTGAGAAAACCAGAACATTTGTGCAAGTCGATCTCTCAGATTTCGCTCAAATTTTGCAGGTAGGTTTGCTTTGGGGTGTAGATCGACATTCCAAAGCCCGCGCAAAATCTTTTGAAGGGAACCATGAAATTGGCATACCCCTCAATATTGGCCGAAATTGACACGATTTATGGGTCTACAAACGAGCCACGGCGCAGCGTACAAGAATAAGCTACGAACAAACCTCCATCAAGCCAACATTACCTCCCCTTAGAAGAGTTCTTGGGGCAGCACCACTTAGCCACGCCAGCATCCCAGAAGACGAGAGCAATCATCCCTTGACGCCACAAATGATCGTCTTGAAAATAGCCAAATTACAAGCGCTGATAAAACAGCGAGCTACGTCCTCAATTAGCAAACACTATACACCGGCAGATAGTAGAACACCTCTTCTAGCACTGAGGACATGTCCCCCATCATCCTTTTTGGGTTTGCTAGAAATAAACAATTTTGAATTTTTCCATTCGACCATGCTGAAATAGGTCCAAACTCATACCTGCGCAGGAAAGCTCGCCCCTCCGCGACGTCTAGTCAGTAATTTCTACTCCAACACCACTCCCAACGCCGCAGAACAAAGGGTATTGTTGACTCTGACAAGGAAAAGTAGCGGTGATCACTTGGCACCCCAAACGACAAGCTTTTCCTTGCGCCAGCAACATTTTTCGGTGCAACAGATGCAAAAGTGACTGAATTATTTTTGTGTGTAGTTTTTGGATTTTACTGCATGTATCACTAGTGCACTTGACTGTAGCAGTTACCATGGTTACCGAAGGTGAAAGCTGTACAGGTTTCCAGTAGACGACACACGGAACAGTCATTAGACTCATTACAGTCATGTCATGCACTTCGAAGTACAATCATCATGATCATGTAGACAATGATTATGTAGTTGACATACATGTATGTAGGCGGTGTGCACTTTACCGTCTGTGGGGGGTGTGGGAGCCTCCAAGGGGCTTAGAAATGCAGTCTAGGGCCAGGCATAGGCCCTTCCTATTTCATGTACAAATCCTAGCCTGTTCGTTCTTGGGTGTTCCGTTCAGTTCTTCTTTGCTCGTCAGTACGGGCCTTGTGTGATCGTAACCACAGGATGGATCGGTCCATGGGATCCAGGAAGCATTGGCATTGAGAACGGCCGCGGTTACGTTGGCCTTGCCGACAGGTGTGCACACTGCACTGACTGAGCCTTGTAGTTGTCTGTCCTATTGCTGGCGGGTAGTGGAACGAAGTCGCGTGGGAGCACTGTCTGTGCAATGAAATGTGGGTGGCAGCAGCATGGTTTAGATTGCAAAGATGATCCCGGCAGACGACTGAATTCATGAAGGAGGAAACTCATTTTGAGAGATGAAACATCATCACACTCACAACGTACATGTACATGTACATGCGCACAAAATGCTAGCCTATAGCCTATACTATAGTATGAAGGGAGGTCCTCCGCCACAGTGCTTCCTCCGCCTTGCAACATGCTGTCAACCGATAAACAAGAAAGGGAGCGAGTAGTTTTTCGTAATCCTGCACCGACCAGTACGCAATACAATTTAGCATTAGCGTACAAACCTTCTCCGTGACTTATTTTGTGGGCTGATTTCAGAGACGAGGAAGGTGTGAGCACAGCTTCTGAACTATAACAGTTATTCCTGATTACTGTTACTGTCTTAGCTACAACTACAACTACAGTACAAGGTAGCAAGTACAAGGTAGCAAGTAAGTTTGTTTGTTACTCAGTAGGATAGGCACTCCTAGCTCTGCATCTTTTAGACAGCAAAGATTGCCAACGTGCTGTTGAACGTATCTCTAGACTGGAATCCCACCTTGCGAAACGGACGGGTAAACCCCTTCTAATCCGTACTATAGGTAAGTAACCGGTTTGTCTGATGATCTTGCCAGTACATGTATCGTCTTCGACCTACATGAACATCCGCCAACGTCTTTCACAGCTGAGACTTTCAGCTTGTGCTGGTCTTGGTTTCGCTCATCTTCCCCTCCTATTTTTCTATAACTAATTACTTAGAACCTTCCAAGCTGGAAGGCTGTTGGAGTGCGCATCCGAGACGTGCTAGAGCTGATTGCCAGTTAGTTGTAGAACGTCAGTATCGTTGGTAAGTGTCGTGCAATGTTATCCCATGAGCTGATTGTAAAGTATCTGGTGGTGTTAGTGGACGTTTTAGCTATAGCGTAACTGGTAGTTCCTTGCCAAGTTAGTTGGTCCTCTTTTCCTTCCTATAAATTAATCTTTGGCTCTCCCACCCGAGTCTAAATGTTTGTATTGTATTTCCATTCATTATGTTTGTGTGTGTATTTTTTATCACCACCAGCAGCTCCTAAACAATCAGCTCATGCGATAACATAATGCACGACGGTACTGGCGGTACTGACGTTCTACAACTACTGACTCTAACTGGCTAACAGCTCTAGCACATCTTGGACGCGCACTCCAACAGCCTTCCAACATGGAAGGTTCTACGCTATAATTATGATAACATACATGTACATGTACATGTACACGTAGAAGGGGAAAGGGAAAGCTGATTGTTTATTACTAATATTAGCTGCTGGTGGTGTTAGTGGACATTAAAGCGTCGCTTGTACGTGTAGTTTCTTGTTCCTTTTCTTTTCTATATTTATCCTTGGCTCTCCATCCTAGTCCATAATCGTAACTCAATTAATTCTTACTTGATTCTCACAATCGAAGTATGGAGATCGAAGAAAAAACTCTCAGCTTTCTTTTTCAACAATTGCCAAAGCGATAGGATAAAGGACCGCTGAGTTATGCCTTATCGCCGGCTCATCATGGCGCTCGCGAGCTCGACGGCTAGGCTACACGTTACTTGACACGCCCGCAACTATTTTTGCGCCCTGCGTGGGGGCTCGGTTTTCATTATTTTTTCTGCATTTTTGACATTTGGTGCCATGGCAACTGCAGTTCAAATCCAGCATGCAGTAGGCTCGATCGCGAGAGTGTTCACAAGAAAATAATTTAGCTCGATACGAGCAAGGAGAGTGGAATGGCGGGTGAAAGCTCAGTTTCTTTGACTTGTGCGACTGCCTCATGACTTAAGTCTTTGGGACAGATTCCCGTAGCTGGTCTATGACCTATGACCTTGTGGAGACTTGTGCTTTAGTTCAGCGTTTTTCTCGTCGCAGCAGCTTTCCAGGAGGCTCTAGATCCCGTACTTGAAATTGGAGCATGGATGCCAGCCTTGCCAGGGTTACCAACTTCTTAGATGTTGCCAGTGTGTAAAAATGACCCATTTTCGCGGGTCATTAGTGGACAGGTGACTAGCCCTTTCCCAAAGGTGCTCTTTTAATTCGCACTTAGTGCTTTTCGCGTCCCTCAAAATATGCTGAAAAAGTGCTCTTTTTTCAGTGAAAGCAGGCAGAAGTGCCCTT